CCGCGTACTGCAGGGCATCGTCTTGGCTCCAGGCCAGATCGAAATCGGTCCTTCCCGCGATATCAGCAGGACTCCGCATTCCGACCAACTCGGCGAAGACCGAATTGCAACCAACGTATGTCGAAGATTGGTCCTTCCAGAAGATCGCCTGAGGCAGGCTATCAATGATCGTTGTCAGCAAGCGACGCTCAGCACAGATCGCCTTGTTCTGTTCTGATAGCTCACGGTTCAGGTCAGCAAGTTCCTGTTCGCGGCGTTTCCGATCGGTGATGTCGCTCTCGATCGCAATATATTTGTTGACATTCCTGTTCGCGTCTTCAATCGGACGCACCTCCATCGCGAGCCAGTACTCTTTCCCGGCCTTGCTGTAGTTCACGATCTCCACGTCGAACCCCTGCTTGCGAGAGATCCGTTCGGTCATGAACTCGACAGTGGACTGATCCGTGTTTACGCCTTGGAGCACCTCCCCAGGAACCTTGCCCCTCACCTCATCGAGTGTGAATCCCGTCAAGCGAGTAAAGCCATCGTTTACCCACTCGATCCGTACTTCGTGGTCGGTAATAACGACGGCGTTATCGGTGTACTTGGCGACAAGGGCCAACCGCTCGGCCTCTTCCCGTTGTGCTTGAGCTTCTTTCTCCGCAAGCACACGACTCGTGATGTCCGTATGAGTAACAATGGTTGCTCCCTCTAAGTGCTTCTCGACGGGCATCACGCAGACCTCAAACCAACGCTGCTGATGTTCTGAGTGACAGGCGTATTCCGCCGTGTAGCTCCCCGAGCCTTCGGAGATGATCCGTTCGATCGCTTCCGCCAGCGCTAACGCGTTAGAACGGCATTCACCCGTCGCCGATCGGCAAATGTCGAGGTAGTTAGCAAGGAGGTAGGCCTCGTCACCGCCATTATTTACGGCGAACCGGTTCCACCTTGCGTTAGTCAGGATGACCTCGCCCCGTGTATTCAATATGCAGACGTGAGATGGCAGCGAGTCAAGTATCGCCTGCGACACACGGTAGGCTTCTCGACTTTCTGACTCGCGGGCAACGGACTCGGCGATCTCCTCTTCTAGCGACTCCCTCGTTTGGCGTCCTACGCGCTTCGCGGAGAAAGACTCTTCAAACGGCTTGAGGTCGTAGGCGAATCTCCACGTCACGATCGCCAGCAGGAGTAGAAATAGCGCCAGGAGCCGATAGGCTGGCCAAAAGAAGATGACTGTGGAGATCCCATACCCAGAGATTCCACAGAAGAAGAAAATCCAGGCCAGATCCATCAGCTTGGGGTCGCGATCACGCTCCTCCTCCGCCAGATAGCACGCCCGCCAAGTGCGCATGATCTTTGTGTATCCCACCAGGACGGTNNACGATCAGCGTGACGATCCACGCCCAGTCCGGCCTTCCCTCCGCCGTTTGGAGACAGTGGATTCGCGGCATGTAGTTGCCGTAATTCGTGAAGAAGTCGTACTCGGAAAGAAATGATTGCTCTTGCAAGTCGCAGCCAACCACCGGAAATGCAGAGACCGCTTCGCGGCGTCCCGACAAGTGCGTCCCCAGCGCATCGAGGGCTGGAGGCGACGGCATTCCGTCTTTCCCCGCAGCAAGGCCCCCGCTGAATAGCAGACGCCGGTTGATATCGAAGAGGAGGCAATGCCCGGAAGAAGAGGCATTGAACCGTTCCGCCTCGATTCCGCCGCGGTCGACGAGGAGCGTGTACTTGCCCGCGTCGTTGAGCCGGCTCCAGGATTCATTCTGAACCCACTCGTCGGGCTCGCCGTCAGGGCAGTAGAAGACAAACGTTGCCCTGATGGGCACTTCTGCTGTCTCGGTGACGCTGAGCACCTGATCGACGATGCTACGGCTGCATTGACAGCGCGGATGAATGAAGACAAGAAGGCTGCTATGCCTGTTGTCGTGCTCGATCCGGGTCACGCTGGGCCAATGGGCTTCCGCCGCCGCGATCGAGAACGCAGACAGCAAGCCGACGAGCGCCAGGCCAACAAGAGCGGAACGCCTTTGGATTGAAGCACTCATCAGCTGCGTAACCTTACAATGGTTATGGGCACAGACTCTTCCGGCTCACTGCCTCGCCAATCGCCTCTAGAATCAACTCACGGCTCGCAGGCTTCGTTAGGACGCGGACGACCGCGGGCATCGAGCTGGCTCGTGCGTGCGTCTCAGCATCGCAGTTGTCCGTGAGCACGATGAACGATGTGTGCGGATTCTGCGGCGCTGCCCGGTCGATAAACTCGAGCTCGTTCATTCCAGGCATCGTCACGTCGCTGATGACAACGTCGAAGCGTCGATGCCCGCTTATCAACGTTTGAGCTTCCGCGGCGGAGTAGGCTACGGAGAGATCGTACTCGTATGAGAACTCGCGCTTTAGGGCGCGGAGCATCGGTGCGTCATCATCGACGAACAGGACAGATACCGACATATCGCATCTCCTACCGCTATAGCGACGTTCAACTGCCAACCGATCGGGCCAATGCAAGCAAGAGAAATGTAGGGTGCGGGGATGTGGACTCCCGCCGGCGGTGCTTTTTTTGGGTGTTGATGTGGTTGGCCGTAGTCTTTCGCAACGGCCGGTCGGAGCGGCAAGAGTGGCCGCTGCGCGCTTGACGGACGCTACAGTTCGAGAGGCGTTACAACCGCTGAACCGTCAAGTAACTCGTTAAGCGCCCCTCGGGGGAGATTTCCGCATGTGGACTTCCGTCGCAACCGCGGAAATCTTGCAGTCGCGCCAATCGTTAGCGCATCACGTCCGATAGACAGGCGTAGCGCGGTAGGCGCCACCGCGACTGGCGGCACGGCCTGCTTTGCGGCAAACCACGCATCAAGCTGCACGGCGGGTGCTTGTCGATTGGCGTAGCTTTAGGCAGTTCCAAATGCGCATTCACGGTCCGCCTATGGTGCGCCATCCCTCGACGATCGCTGTGCCTCACTCACGCTATCTGACGTCGAGCCCGGCCGTTGTCGGTTGCGTCACAGGCGCTCTGATGGCGGTATTCCTGTGGCTTGGTGCTTGCGAGGAGGGGGCGCAAATCGAATCTGCCCGCGAGATTCTAGCGCTGGCGTCGAAGCACGATGCAAAACTCGAGCCGCTAGTCGCTCCCAGCGGGCTCAACTGGGCTGCGGTGCGGCTCGGCGACCGGCTGTTCCACGACCCGATCCTGTCGCGTGACGGTACCGTGTCGTGCGCGAGCTGCCACGATCTGAAGCACGGCGGCGACGACGGACTGGTGGTCTCAGTGGGGATCGATAACCGGCTCGGTGAGTTGAATGCACCAACGGTGCTGAACGCGTCCCTCAACTCGTCCCAATTTTGGGATGGTCGCGCTCCTACGCTTAGCGCGCAGATCGATGGGCCCATCCACAACCCAAACGAGATGGACTCCGATTGGGGCCAGATCGTCGAACGTTTGAATGCGGACGCCTCGTATCGGGTGGCATTTGAAACAGCTTACGGCGCTCCCCTTGATGCCAAACTTGTGAGGCAAGCGATCGTTGCGTTCGAGGAGTCCCTCATCACGATCGACGCGCCCATCGATCGGTGGCTCCTTGGCGACCGGAAGGCTATGCCGATCAAGGCGCTCGAAGGACTTCATTTGTTCGAGCAGCATGGCTGCATTTCTTGCCACCAGGGTCGGGCGTTTGGCGGAAACCTCTTCCAAAGATTGGGCGTGATGCGCGAGTATTTCGAGGCAGCGCAAACGATCCGTCGCATTGATTTGGGACGTTTCAACCACACCCAGGACAGCCACGACAAACACGTCTTCCGTGTGCCCTCTCTCCGCAACGCCGAACTGACCGGCCCTTACTTCCACGACGGTTCCGCCGCAACCCTGCCCGACGGTGTCAGAGTGATGCTGCGCTTCCAAGTCGGCGTTGAACCCGACGAGGCGGAAGTCGACCGCCTCGTCGAGTTCCTACGCAGTCTGACGGGTGTTCTCAAGGGACGGTCGGCATGACTAGCCGTTGTAAGAGTCGGATGCCACTTGCGCTGTTCGCGGCCGCAGTGATCGGGATCGCCTTCTCGTCAGTGATGGGCGGCGAAAGCGGGGTGCTCTTGAGCGATCGAGGTGCGCTGGAGTCGGCGATCCAATATCACGAGGCCGTCGTCGGTGAAGTTCTCTTGATCGATTCCGGATCGCGGTGGAACTTCGATACGCTGGCGAATCTTGAGCGTGGCCTCAGGAGTCAAATCGATAAGATCGAGTCTCAGGAGCACCGTTACACCCCAACCGACCTGCCGGGAATGCTGCGCGACGACCTTGAGTTGGTCGAGCGTTACAAGACTCACCACGCTGTTCGACGAAAATCGCTCGCGGTTTTGGCTGACCCCAACAGAACGCATGTCGTTTTCCCCGATCGCTTTGCCGGGGAAATTGCTTGGCTCGTTATGCGACTATCCGGGCAGCTCGATGGCGAGGCTGCGGACAAGATCGGCAAGGTCCTCGAAGAGGATCGTTGGCGCGAAGCGCAGTATGCCGAGGCGAAGGCCCACCTCCATCTCATCGTGCAGAGCCAGACGAGATGTGATGCGATTTTGAGCCGGCTGACCGACTCGCCTGCGCGCGCTCGCATGCTCCAGGCCAGCGACCGATTGCGGGACCTTATCGAGTCGCACACAGACAGCCTCAACACTCGCCAGCGGCTCATTTTCGTGTTGCTCGCCGCAACGCTTGGTTACGCCGGGGCTATGTTAGTCGAGCAGCGGAGGGCCGTGCATGAACTCGCGAAGGTCAATGATGGGCTGGAGACTGCGGTCACGGACCGCACCGCCGAGCTGACCGCCGAACGGGAGCTACTCCGATCACTGCTTGACAGCCTGCCCTCAGCGGTTTTTTGGAAAGACCTTGAGGGCGTCTACCGTGGGTGCAACCCCGCTTTCGCGAGCATACTCGGCTTCGACTGTCACGAACGTGTCATCGGGATCACGGATGATGACCTCCCGTGGGACTTCCAAAGTCGGTGTAACAAGATTGAAACCGAGCGGGCCGTCCTCACATCGCACCACGCGGTGATCGGCGCTCCCGACTGCAAAGTACTCGAATCGGGGCGTAGTTTGGAGCTGATCGCAAGTACGTTGATCCTTCGCGACCAACAGAGCCAGCCGTGGGGACTTGTGGGCGTCTACACCGATGTAAGCGAGCTCAACCGGCTGCGGCGTGAGCTCGTTCAGGCGGAAAAGCTCCGCTCGGTCGGCCAGCTAGCGGCCGGCATCGCGCACGAGATCAATTCGCCTATCCAGACGGCGTCGGGCAACATCGAGTACCTGAAAGAGGGACTGGCCACGCTGCTTACGGTTGCCGAGGTGGGGGTAGCGGACTCGCTCTCCGTCCGCCCAACCATCGACCCTCACTACCTGGATCACCTGCGTCGAAACGCCTATGGAGCAGTAGAGGACTGCTCGGAGGCGCTTCGACGGGTGACCGAGATCGTCCAATCGATGCGTGTGATGTCCCACCCCGGCAAGCGGGAGCACGTCGCTACTGACCTGAACGCTATCGTTGGCAGTGCGGTGACGATTACCCGTAGCCGCTGGAAGTACCATGCGGAGGTAGAGATCGACATCGACGATGACCTGCCCATGCCTGAGGTGATGTCGAATGAAATCAGCCAAGTCCTCTTGAATCTCATTGTCAACGCGGGCGACGCGATAGCCGAGGCACGTAGTGAAGACGACCCGCTAGGGCTGATCACTGTGCGGACGAGATCTGATAGTGACCACGTTGTCGTAGAGGTCGAGGACACCGGCTGTGGCATGCCACCCGAGCTTCGTTCACGGATCTTCGAGCCGTTCTTTACTACCAAGGAGGTGGGCAAGGGTACCGGCCAGGGACTTGCAATCGCACACGACATCGTCGTCCTGGGGCACGGCGGCCAGATCGAGTGTGAGTCCGAGGCCGGGGTCGGCACGACCTTCCGATTGTACTTGCCGGTTACGGCAGAAAGTACGACCCCAAGAGAGGTTTTGATCGCGAACTGATTTGCTCACGCGGCGGGCTAAGGCGTCGATCGGCGAGCCTGCTGGATCCGACGCTGGCGGGTTGTTATCTAGCGGCGCCTCTCGGGAGCATTTCGTTCCGCATCGGTCGATTGACTTCTGAGAGTTGCCAAGAGCCTAACCTGCGTAGGACCGACAGGCGAATGGCACGTAGTTGGCCGTAAGT